TTTAATAGTTCCATTATTTTCTTTCGAGGTACGGAAAACCCTAAAAAGTGGGCGATATCGGCACGAAAAATCACTACAAAACAATTTAGATTAATTTTAAAGACATATAGAACCGACTTTAAATTTTATTAAGGTGAAAAATTATATTTTCTTAAAACCGGCAAATTTTTCCAAGAACCATTGAAGTTGGATTGAGGTTATCTGTAGTTTATTAAATTATAACCGCCCGACCGACTTCGATGTTTTTTGAAAATAAATTATTACAATTATAATTATATTACACCTTTTAAAAATTTGAACTCTGTTCTATTTTTCGAAAAATGTTTTTATTTCATTATTTTTAGTGATACTTATATAGGTATTAAATATTTTGTATAGGTATAACTAAAATATTAAATATCCATATAAAAGAAATTACATTTACAACGAAAGTCCTGAAACTTTTATATATTTTCCACAACGTAACCACGAAGAAATCGGCGAACATACCTACTTGCATAAAAAAATAGTAAAATCAATTAATACACAACAAACACACAAAAAAACGTTAAGTCGAATTGAGAACCTCCACCTTTTTGAAGTCGTTTAAAAATATTATAGAAAATATATAATGTGCGATGAAATTAATTACCTTACACGTAACATAATAAAAAATACGATTCAGTCTTTAATTAATTTTTTTACTTAGATATTGGATATATAATTAGAAAAAAATATAGATATAACATTTCATCATCATCATCATCAGCCCTTTTACGTCCCCACTGCAGGGATTCAGGCCTTCCTTATGGATGGTTAAAGAGCATGGGCCATGACCTTCCACGCTGGCCCAATGCGGATTGGAGGGTATTAACGACTGCAAATGCAGCCGGGACCACCGGCTTAACGTGCCATCCGAAGCACGGAGTAGCTCGAGATAATATTTTTTTTTGGTCACCCATCCCGTGACCAACCCTTGCGAAAGTTGCTTAACGACAACGATCGCGGGCCGCGGTGCTTATCCACTACGCCACCGAGCTAGTCTACATCATTACATTAATAACATTTACGTGACATTTATTACTCAGTCATTAAGTAAAAACTATTTGACAGTTAACTTGAAGGTTGTAAGAGGCCAATAAAAGGCCCTCGGTGATCTATTGTAAGTATTTTTAAGATAACCTAAATATAAAATTAATAATAGTGAAATATCCAATAAGACAAAACACAAAATATTTATAAAGAAAGATAAAAATATCTATAGACTTAATCACTCAACAAAGCAATAAAATTGGACACTATACCTTCCCAGGCGAGGCTATTTATCACACCCATCATAACAACACGAGACAGACCGTTAATAACAAGAACATCGAATTCTCTTGAAACGAAAAGCCTCCACGAAATCACAACTCGACAACACAACACGATTCCCAACTCTATCGCCTTGTAATAAGACATTATCATTTGAGTTCTCTATCTATTCTGAAGCACGTAACGTGAGATGTCAAGGGCAAGACCCTTGTCCAATGAAAGCCCGTAGAGAATTCTAATAGTAACTCGTTAACTAATATTGCTGTTCCCTTTTCGATATCAACACCCCCCCCCCCCAACCCCCTCCTTACTAAATTATGACAATTCTGTTCTTGCAAAAAGTATAAGGTGTAGTTCCCATGCCATTTTTATTCCTGAAATTGCTGTAAATTAGTTTTGTTTCTGAGAATTCATGATCAGTGAATATTATAGTAAGTAAGGTGATGATGTTGCTTTTCTTTTTGTAGATTTTCCAAGTCTAATTATTAAAACTTCTATTTACACTACTACTACACAACAATATTGAAAAATTGCTTGCTACGGTGGTAGAAATTTTCACAATTTCAAGTTGCTGTCTCGCTTCTAGAATTTCGCCTCCCGTTACACTGTAACGTATTTGTAATGGAGGAAGTATTCAAAAAAATCATTAGTTCCTGAAATCAAACTAGACGTCACTACGGTACTTTCTTGATCTATCCATTACAACCCTTCCGGTTTTCTTTCATGTATAAAAGTAAATTAATTTTCAAAACTCAAGAAACAACTCATATTCGATTTGTACTTTTTCGAATTTGTATTGATATCTAACTTTCGAACTTTGAAAATTTCAGTTAAAAGGAACGCAAATGACTATCTTTGGTTCATTCGTTTCCTGCAAATATCAAATTTTGCTAGTCGCCATCTAGTGAGGTGCTTTTTTAGTGCTTTCTTTTTTTGGTACTTGAAAATTATTTATTACTTTGATAATTTACAAAATAAAGACAAAATACCGACCGACCGGAAACGAGTAAAATAATCACGTTTGTTGTTTAGCCCCTTAAATATTTATTGACGTGGATACGTCTATGTTTTCGTTCTACAGGGGGGTCATTCTGTGAGCAGGAGTATATGCACTAACGCCATCTATTGGCGTATAAGTGAACTATGCTTGCTCTGCAGGGGGAGGGGCATTCTGTCAGCAGGAGTATATGCACTAACGCCATCTGTTGGCGCTAGTGAATACTTTTTTCATTCAACAAATGAACGCAACGAATATTTATTTATTTAGTGTTTAGTGTCTTCAATTTGTTTATTTTTTTTTATCAACTACTCATATATCCATTCATACATAGACGTATCCACGCATAAAATATGGCTGTATCAATGATACAGACAACCAGGGATTTTTTATTGTTTTTGACGTGGATACGTCTATGTTTTCGTTCTACAGGGGGGTCATTCTGTGAGCAGGAGTATATGCACTAACGCCATCTATTGGCGTATAAGTGAACTATGCTTGCTCTGCAGGGGGAGGGGCATTCTGTCAGCAGGAGTATATGCACTAACGCCATCTGTTGGCGCTAGTGAATACTTATTTCATTCAACAAATGAACGCAACGAATATTTATTTATTTAGTGTTTAGTGTCTTCAATTTGTTTATTCATTTTTTTATCAATTACTCATATATCCATTCATACATAGACGTATCCACGCATAAAATATGGCTGTATCAATGATACAGCCAACCAGGGTTTTTTTTAGTATTTGTTGTTATAGCGGCAACTAAAATACATCATCTGTGAAGATTTCAACTAACTTCAACGATTCATGACATACAGCCTGGCGACAGACGGACAAACAGGCAGTGAAGTCTTATTAATAAGGTTCCCGTTTAACCCTTTGGGTACGAAAACAGAAATATTGAAATTCAAGAAAACACAATAACGATTTTCACTCTCGTTTATTTTACAAAAAGAGGTTATTTACAAAGTTTTGGAACAATTCTAATGTATATTTACAATTAATACAACACAGTTTTAACATAACTTATAAATTACTTATAAGACTTGTAAGAAATGTCAACGTAATTAAGTATTAATCAAATTTACGTAGTACTTAGAGTCGTATTTTGCTTGTACAACAATCAAATCCATCTCTTGACTTTTAATTAAAAGACGAATTTAACATGGCCTACATTAGAGTATAGCCTGTTTCAAGTTGAATATTAACACAATACAAAAGGCGATGTATTTATATATATATATAAATAAGACTTAACGTTCAATGTACACCTGAAAAACTTAATGATCCAAGTGACACGATTGATTAAAAATATAATTTCTTGTTATCAAAATATAAATCACAATATTCTATATCAACGTAGGCATTGGAATTCAGTACAGTTATAGAATTCGCAGTAAAGCTTACATTTATAAGTTATAAATGTTGGTTTTATGTTCTAATCCGAGTTAATTTCGTCTGCCACCTGTTGCCACTTGGCTACCAAACTCGATACTGATTTTTGTTTCATCCCGATGGAAGACGATATTTTGACCTGCCAACAAATCATTTTAAATTAAATAAATATGAAATAACTAATGAATTTATCTAACGACAAAGCAGCATTTCTGAAGAATAATGCACCTCATGCACGGATCCGAGTCTCCCCGGATCAAAGAGACCTGCCCCGAGGGCTGAGATCAATGCCTGGCCAGACTTCTCAGTAAAACCACTTATAGAATAGGCTCACTTCGAGAAAAGGATCTCTTATAGGGAATAGGTTCCTTCCCAAGAAGGGACTGAGTCTCTGAGAACTCAACTTCAACCGGTAACTCTCCATCCCTGGAGTGTAGACTTCTTAAGACTAAGGTATTCGATGAGCTTCATCTTATATGGAAATAAGTAATACAGAGAGCGTCAATCGCGAGTCGAATGATTACAAAAACCAGGCTAGTGCGAATCGGACTCGCGCACGAAGGGTTCCGTACCGGAAAAGGACAAAAAATCATGTTTGTTGTATGGGAGCCCCCTTAATAAACTTGCGTGCAAAAAAATCGAACCACCCCGCAGATTTTGATTCGGAATACAATTATGTAAAAATTGAGATTGGAGAACATTAACTTTTAATGTAATTTGAAGGTATGTTTCACAAACTTTATTTTCATATACCATACACTTTTCATATACGTAAAATTAAATGTTGTTTATGATATTGAGACATTTTAACGTTAGTAACTAAACGTAACGTTAGCAACGTTAATAACTTAGTGACATTGCTATGTGTTAAAAAATAATCAAATCATTGTTTATTTAAATTGATTAGTGACCATTTAGCTTGAGTGTAATTGTTTTTATTCCTGTGAAAACGGATATTACTCCCTCTGAGTGTGCTCAAGTTGTGGCACTGATTCATGCAGGAATGAGTCAACGCGTCGTGGCCAGGCGTCTTCACCTAAGTCGTTCATCAGTAAGACGAGTGTACCGAAGGCTTTCAGAGGTTGGGACCTTCAATAGACGACCATGTTCGGGAAGAAATCGGGCTATTTCAAGAGCGAGATGACCTATTTATGGTATTCACCAGTCTTAGAAAACGACATTTGACTGGTGTTAAGGTACAACAGCAGCTTTTTGATGTACGTGGAGTAGCTGTAAGTGAATGGACTGTACGAAAGAAGATTGCATCCTCACAAATCTGCTAATGCTAATCAATAATGCTAATGGTTCAAAATTAACTCCTGTTCATCGCCAAGCGCGGCTGAGATTTGCTCGAGGTCACGTTGATTGGACACTCGAACAATGGAGGCTCATACTGTTCTCGGATGAGTGTAAAATTAACCTGCATGGAAACGATGGGCGAAGTGTACAAAAGAAAAGGAGGATGATTTGCACACGCTTGTATCGAAGAATGCGCTTTTGGAGGAGGTTTATTGACTGTTTGGGGCGGGATTTCTTTAGAAGGAAAAACTAATCTTCAGGCGCATCCGGACCTCATTTAGGCAACCAGTACCTGCGTGAAGTGCAAATTCCTGTTTTGGAGTGGCCAGCGACAAGCCTTCTCTCGTTAATCCTATTGAACATCTATGAGACGAGCTAAAGAGAAGGTTCAAGGCCAGAAGTCCACCCCCAGAAACCCTTCAGGGTTTAAAGATAGCCATTCTAGAGGAGTGGAAAGGTATAACTCAAGATTTCATAATTACTTTAATAATATCAATGAAAAACCGCATGGAAGCTGCAATAATAGCACGCGGCGGAAACACCAGCTACTGAGTAAAGTTTTCTTTGCAAATTATTAATGATAATTTACCATGATAATTTTTCATTAAAAAGCTTAACTGTTTTGTTTTACGGTCTCTAAAATCAAGAAATCAAATTCTATCACAGTAAAATCTCGTCTATTGTAAACCTAGACTGTCACGTAACAAACAGTATTAAAAGATATTATTGATTCGTATTAGATTTTTGTTTATAGTCTTCTGAACCAAAGCATGCGTTGTGGGTCGTTTTTTTTGTACGCAACAGAAATATGTCATCTGTGAAAATTTCAACTGTCTAACTTTCAAGGTTTATGAGATACATCCTGGTGACAGACAACAAAGTCTTAGTTAATTACTAAGACTTTGCTGTCTGTCCCGTTTAACCCTTTGGGTACGGTACCTTAAAAAAATAAGTCCGGGTCAGTGCAAAGGCCAAATTTCTCCAATCGGTTTGAAACCTTAATCTATGGGTCAATTCAAAATTGATTGTAGATATAAGTTATTTTGTAATAACCTAATCTGCTGTTATATGTAAAAAGTGACAGTGAAAATTAATATGATGGGTTTAAGATTCAAAACATGACATTCAAAACTTGGTGAACTTTATGTAGGTACTAATGATGTAATACTCAATTACTTATACCAAAGTGCGTACAAAGTGGAAGTTTACCTTGGATTTCTTTTTGCCCTTGTCTTTATCTCTGTCCTTGTCTTTTTCCCTGTCTTTTTCTTTTTCTCTTTCCTTTTCCCTTTCTTTTTGTTTATCCTTGTGTTTTTCGGGAGGTTCTGGCGAGCTGGCAGCGGTTTGAGAAACTGATGGCGTCTGCTTCTCTAACTCAGCAATGTCGTTGTAGAACGATAACAGTTCGTCGCCAATTTCTTGCTTAGGCTCCTACAAATAAGGTTTAAATTAAATTATGAGTTATATCTTGAAAATAACAAAAATATACTGACAATTTTTATTTGGGTGACTATATTATTGCATGATTATTAAATTTTGATTGTATATTAGATAAAAAATTTACTTAGTTTAGGTATCATTGCTACTGACCCACATAGGTGCCTACCTAGTCATAACAGACTAGGACTGATAAGCGAATATCTATTATATTAGGTATTATTAGTATTAGCAACATAATTTACATGTTTATATTGATTTCTGATATTTTCGCGCGCTCGATCCATAAATGAAATAACTTTTAAACGGTTTCATCGCGTTTGTGTTTAGTTTTAGACGTTTCGGACCCTTTATAGGTTCACCTCCATCTTCATCTTAATTTAATTCATCTTAATGTGAACTTCATATTATTTTAAAGTTAAGCCTAACACTTTCCAATCGTGATTTGATAATTCGGAAACGGGCGGATTAAGGTGTGCAGTTTTCACCGGCTGCACACTGTGGCCCATGAAGGCCATCACCATTGAGTAACCGGCATGATCGCCTATAATGGCCTATGATCGGCCATAATCGTGCACGATCGTTTTTTACACAATCATCAAAGGAAGTTTGACTTAAATTTAAAAAAAAAAACTACTGGAAGAATCAACCGGCATTAAATCACGCTGTCTCTTATTGAAGGCAATTCGCCAAAATTAACTGCAGAGCTTTTGAAGCTAAGCAGACCTAACACCCGAGCGATTGTATGGGCCTTAACTGGGCACTGCATACTAAACAGACACCAATTTCACAAACAGGAGCGTAAAAAACCAGAACACCTCCTGTATGAATGTGGACCCCGTTGATCCACAAACGAAGCATCTATCTAGGCACATAAACTGCCCATATGTATTAAAGCTCTTAAAGACAAGAACATCATAGACTTCTTAGAAGCTACCAAGCTAAAGGAGCTACTATGACTTTGGCGGCGAGTCGCAAAAGATCTTATAGGTCGCAGTGACGACAGCTCCTTTAGGAACTGAATGGCCCCTTAACACATCGAATGCGAGCTGGAAAAGCTGATTTTCTGGAAATGGCCAAATTGTTATACTTCATTAAAATTAGATTAGTTTGCTAAAATTACTTTCTAAAGAGTTTCTTTAATTTTAATATTGTCTAGGTAGGTTTAACATAATATAAAAATATATCACGCCATATCGCGTCATCGGCTATACATAACACAATTATTGCACACATTCGGTACAATCAAGCGATATCGCGTGGACGGCCACTGGCTGGCGGACCAAATCACACGATATCGAGTGATTGGCATTTGAAGTGTTAAACACTCACAGGCGGCAGCGGGGGCGGGGCAGCGTCGTCACAGCCGGGCGGCGGCGGATCCCACGCGGGCGGCGGCGGCGTCGCGGGCGGTGCGGGCGGCGGGTGCGGCTGCGGCTGCGGCTGCAGCGGCGGAGGCGATTCCTACATACATACCGCTATATTAAGCTTACTTTCGCTACTTATTTGGGGGTTAGCCAAAGAATTTAAAAGATATGTAACAAAAATTACGATAGGTTCTTCTGATACTGTAAAATATTACCAGTGGATGAAAAAGTAAAATATACGATATCAACAGAAAATTATTATAGTGAGAAATTTAAAGTTAAAGTAAAAATAGATATAATACAAAAAGGAATAGGTAAAATAAGTTTGTTAAACCGTTTATAATTAATTACTATGGTAAAAGATGTTCAAAGTGTGTAGTTCCGGCAATAGTGTAATAAAATAAGCTTGTTAAGAGAAGATAAAAAGTTATGTAGACCTATTATTAAAAGAAAATTCAAAGATAGTCTTACTGAATAAATGTAATGTTATTTTAAGTCCCTAATTGATGTTTTCTATCTTTACAATTTTTTGTTATTGTAGGTAAGTATATACGTATTAATGATGTTCCGGATATCCGTATCCGTATCCGCGGATATCCGACGGAAAATTAAGATCCGTATCCGTGTACGTATCCGTTTCTTTCCTCGCGGATCTTTTAACTAATTAATTTTCAATTGATAGGATGAAATGCTATATTTAGGTGATTAGGTAGATTTAAAAACTATTAAATTCAATTCAAGTATTTTTTATTTCTTTAAATAAAATATTTGGCAAATTTATATTGCAAATATTTATCGTAGTTAGTTATTACACTAATAGTAGGTAACTCAAAGGTACTAATCAACTATTATAAAATATAAAATAAGAACAATATTATAGAAAGTTATAACATTACTTTTAAACAAAACTTAAATCTTTTTTATAATTAAAATGAAATCAATATAATAGAAAGTTATAAGTTATAAAATCACTTTTATAACTATGAGATGATGAGAAAACCAAAAATAAACTCTAATTGAATGATTATTCTGATAAAGTAAATTAATACTACGTACCTAGTAGGTACTACCTACTATATAAATTGTAAACATTAGATAAAAAAATTAATTACAACTATCTGTATCCGTATCCGCAGGTCTTGACACCAAATATCCGTATCCGCAGATATACATTTTTAACGATCCGGCACATCACTAATACGTATACAAGAAAATGAGTCCTAATCTTAATTAACAAATTGCTGTGCAGTTTGGCAAAAATAACAAATGTACCTTCTGTAATATCCTTAATACATAAATAAACTTTAAACTTGGACTATAACACAATGAGTAAAACAATGAGCAAACGATTTAATTATTGTAGAAGATCTCGTGAAGTCATCAACTAAAAAGTGGCTCATATATCAATCATTTTCACGTTAAATCTCAGTGCTGGCGCCTATACCAGCTTTTCTCATGATGTAGATAGAAAGAGTTAATAGATTAAATAAATAAATTTATTTATATAAATAGAATGAAATAAATAAATGATATATATTTATATTATAAAAATTGTAGGAAAATATAAAAATTTATACCCAATATTTATGATAAACAATTAACAAAATGCAAAGTGAATTTTGTGCAAACACCTTATAATCTAGACGAAGATAAACAGGACAAAGTACAGGAAAAGTTACAGTCAGCAGAAGCACAAACATATTATAAATCACATTATTAAAAGATCTCGAACTGAAATATTTAAATAGTCAACGTCCTGCCGGACAACTTAACTCGAATGGGAACGGCTATAGTTTAAGCCCACATGTGGGACAAGGATGAGAGATACATATAAATAAACTAAATTAAACTTATTAAATCTAAATAAACCGGCATATGCTAAAAAAGTTTCGGAGCAACAACATTCTGCCCGGTCACAGTATAGGAGGCGTCGTACCTTAACATCAGCGTGTCCCGGATGGGGCGGGGTGGTGCATATGTCCATGTCCATGTTGGCGGTGGCGGGGAACTCCCACTGCACGAGGCCGTCGCACTCGCGCTCGTAGCGGTACCGCCCCTCCGACCTGCGCGCACAAACGCACACGTACAAGCACGCGCGTACACGTTGCGACCGACGAGCCCGTAACTTTATGTTGGGAATAGGAAACTTTAAATACTTTATATACATAGATAAACTTTTTAGATTACATCGCGACCAGATTTTTCTTTAAAAACCTTTTAATAAATATTTTTTAGATATCCAAAGCCCAGTTGGAGAAAGCGGTGGCCTTTATGTAAGACGAATTACACAAGCCATATATTTTTAGTTCGTAAAGACTTATTTATTGTCTTATACATATTAATATGTAATTAATTGTGTTGTAATTAAGCGGTCACCATAAAAAACTTTGCTTTATAAATTGAAAATATTTTTAGAATAATTATGCAAAATTTATAAATCAGTGCATAAAAACAAATTATGAAATTGCTGCAATGTTATGCAAATTCGTTTCTTGTACTACCGGTGTGTAATCATGTTTTTAAAATATTCTTTTACAAAAAATATTTTTTCTGGATCATTATATCAATTAATAATTAATATTAAAATATGAAAATATATTATGACAATTATAAATAAATATTCAGGATTTTGATCATTGTATGTTTGAATTTTTAGTAGGTAATTTTTTATCGAGTCAATTTCCTTAAAAAGGCATTTCAAGTGTTATATGGTAACGATAATTTGTGTTCATAAATTTCAAAACTGTTAATAGAAAATTATATTGATTTAAAATTTCCTCCACCTTCATAAAATTACAGGCTACCTTAAATTCTAAATGATTTTCATACTAAACCCGTTTAAATTTCCAATTTACGTCTGCGTTTCTAGTTCCAGTTGGCATTGGTAACATTATAGAAAAGCAAAGACAAATCGAGTCCTTTTTATACTGCGGTGGCATCACCAATCAGTTTCGCTTCTTGGAACTCTCTCGCCTCCTGGAAAAGATCAAAGCATATTATCTTGAAATTTGAAAAAAATAAATAAATAATTGATTTCTCTCACCAAATCCTCGGCGCGAAGGTTTCTATGCGGCAAAAACAGCTACCAACCACCATTCTATCTTCCTCTTGATTCACACATTCCGTTAAAATACGAAATAAATATCTATTACTTTAGTAATATGTTAAGTACAATATTATTGAAATATTATGTATGCAACTAATGGTACTGATACATTCAATATATATCTCTTGCATATGTGACTACAACCACTGTCGACATAAGGCTGGGTAATCGATAACATAATAATAAATAAGTCAATGCCATAATTTAAGATTTTATTAAACATTCAATTAAATAAATTATATATTTTATCACAGATCCAAATATCACAGATTGAGACAAATATCACATTCCGATAATGGCAATCCAATAAAATATATTGCCAGCAAAATTATTTTTTACAGTAGAACCATGTTTATAAGTTAGATCGATGTACTTCTGCAGAAGTTTCATTTTTGGAAGGCGTGGAAAAAAAATTTGCCAATCATAATGCGCTGCGATTGCGTGACGTGCTCGTTTGCTATTGGTTGATGTTAGTTAGCAGTGATTTCAACACGTACGTAGTATAACTCAATAGTTAACTACGTACGTATCTTAACGCATTAAAGTCTATATTTCAATAGTGCCGATACTCATATTCTAGTACTCCTGCTATTGATACTTATAAAAATGGTAATACTCTAGTTGATTTATTATTAATAATTTAAAGTTTGACTTTACTATAACACTATATTACAATTCAATACAATAAGCTGAATAATATCGAAACTGTTACTCTGTGGCGCTCTTTACAATTTGTCAAATGTTCTCTGACAGCGTAACAAAGAGTATAGTATCACCTGTAAACCGACAAGGCTTACTATGAAAGCTTACACATATATTGTCATAATAACACTTTAGTCCTTTTAAGAGTCCTTTTGTTCTGTATTTCACAAAATTAAAGTTCATTTAATTCTTTGTAGGTTACAATTAGGTGACTCCACATTTGAGACTAATCAAAATTTGATATTAATAAGATAATCTAATTAATTTTTGTCAGTAATATTGAGCAAAATAAAGAATAATAATGAAATCGCAAATGTGGAGCCCCCAAAGGGGCTGAAGGAACGAGGAAAGAATAAGAAATAGTTGGAAGTTCAAATTTTAGTGGGATTTATGAGATGTCGTGATTCAGAAGCTAATGCGGGGAGAAATTTTCAGAAAATTTTTATCACTTCAATTGTGATAACATTGTGAGCACGTAAATTATGTAGTGAACCTGCTACGGCACGGAAATAATCAATGCCATATTTTGACATCGATAGTAAAAAGTTTTGTAAAGGAAACAAAAAGATATCCTATTTGAAAGATTCGGTACAATGTAAACTTATATGATTTTAAATTTATCAGAAAAGGTAAAAGATTGGATGACGATGAAGTCGCTGTTATAATTTGGAAAAAAGGCATGATATGACGGGTTAAGGTCCGACCGGGAGTCTAGTTAAGAATAACAGGTATATCGGATTGCCGAATTGCGTCAGGCCCGGATCTACGATTCTCGTTAACTTCGCTATGGAGCCTACAGAAATCCGGGCCCGCGAAGGATCGAGGGTACGACGGGGCGGGTGGAGTACCTCTGGAAGGAGCAGAGCCAGCCCGCGGGCGCCGCGGCCGACTCGTGCCGGCGCAGCGCCAGCGCCGCGCCGCGCACCCACGCGCGCCAGTAGCGCCCGCCCAGCGCGCCCGCCGCCGCCGCGCCGCGCAGCGTCTGCGCAACGTATACACATCTATACACCACATCCGCCCGACTAACCGGAGCATAAAGAGCGAGTGCTAGTGATGAAAGAGACATACGGTCAGTCGAACAGAACTCCATTTATGTTTAATGACGCCTTTAAGCTCTAATGAATGTCAAATTTGTATGGATAATGTCGCTTCGAACTAATGACAATTTAAATGGACGTTTGTGCTACTGGCTGTCAGTCCTTTATGTCGTTTAAGATAAGACTCGCCACTTTTTACACGACTTTGCTTTAAAATTAAGACTTTAGCTGTTAGTCTTAGATAATACGACTCAGTCAGATAACGTATAAGTTGCGCTAAAACGACTTAAATACCTAAAACGACTTAAAGGGCTACGTGTTTTTATTCGAGAGAGCTGGCGTTCGAATAAAGCGTTTAGTTTTCAATTCTTAATATATGGAAAAAAAACTATGTCCTACATATTAGATAATAATCAGGGTTTATTATGGAAAAATAAATAAATCTGATTTGGTTATGGTTTATTAAATTAAAAACAATCTTCTATTTATTATGCAAACTGTGTTATGGATATTACTATTATGAGTAATTACGTAATTAGTATTAATTACCACTATAAACCATATTTTAAGGTTAAATTTTTTATGCAAATGAATAATAAACCGGCTTACGACTCTCGACTCCTCAGGTGATGAGTCGCCAGCCTTTTAAGCTGTTTAAGTCCTTTAAGCTGTTTAAGTAACTGTTGAGCGTTTTAAGTTAAAAGACTTCGACTAATGAGACTAGTCTTAAGACTAAAGGTTGGGGACTAAAAGACTGAATCAGTCGTGAGGCGTCAAAAATAAGGCTAGTCTTTATTAAAAGCCTGAGAGTCTCTTTTATCACTAGTAAGTGCTCTTCAACTTTTAAGGCTCGGTCGATAATATCGCATGCGGTGTTGCATTAATGCGTCCCGGCTCCTTACATTCCTTGCACACGGCTGCGTTTTTATCGTCCTACAAGTACTAACGTTATTATCGCAGGCGTGTGTACGATCGTTTGCGTCCTGATACAAAACATTCTAGGAGAAACGCAACGTCCTACTTCTTGCGGTGTTATTATCGCAGCAGTGTGTAACTGCATGACCATCCTAATATAAAATGTACTGAAAACAGATATCGCAGTAACGCATGCGATATTATCGACCTAAAGTAACGCGCTTAAAGTAATATCAAGTTCCCGGCGCATTTAATAATATCATATTCGAGTATTAGTCGCTTGATGGCGGTATTAATAGTAATATTAACGGTTACTCTGTGACTCTGAATGATTCTTACTAAATGAACCGAATCAATAATAGGTGTTCATTTATTTTATTAGTCTATATAAGTTATACATTTATTACATATTTTAGTTCATCATCATCATCACCAGCCCTTTTACGTCCCCACTGCAGGGGCTCAGACCTTCCTTATGGATGATTAAGGAGGATGGGCCATAACCCTCCACGCTGGCCCAATGCGGATTGGAGGGTATTAACGACTGCAAATGCAGCCGGGACCAATGGCTTAACGTGCCTTAAATTTGTATGTATGAAGAAAATTGTAGTCAGCTCCTGGTCTATATATTTAAAATAAACATTAAAAGTTTTATTATAGTTCCCGGATGCTTACCATACGAGGGGAAACTCTATTTTAGAGATTGATTGACCATGTATTTCTGACAATGGAATAACCTATAAGCGACAACCCTACGTGTTTAGGCTATTACTTCTCGTTTGGGTCTCGAGTACACCTACTTATATAGTTCTACTGTGAACTAACTCCACAATGAAATACCTTCTGGACAACAAATTCTATTTAGTCCTTCAGCCAGATAATATAAAAATATTAGATACACTGGCCTACTAACTCCACAGTGAAATATCTACTGGACTAATGGGGATGACGACTGGGTAAAAAAAGGATATTACACTTAGTCTGTCATGCAGATCTCACTTTTTTTCTTTTACTTCGATTTAACAAGAAATGTTTTAAATTTAAATTTGAAACATTACATTAAAGTTGAGAAGTGTGGACTCACTATGTCACAGTTTTGTAGAAAATTTACAAAAGCGTGATGTTACGTGACATTATAACTCAAACTCGAACTTATTATTATATTTGATCAATTTGGCATTCAAAATACTATATTAAAAAATATTCCTAATCCACTTTGTCCATAGCACTCTAAGATGCGATGGAATCTCAGAGTGCTACTGACAAAGTGGATTTTTTAAGCATTTTTCCTAATCTAAACAAATTAGGAGGTTATCCTGAGTACTAGATTGTCATAAATATTCGAACTCACCTGCATCTGAATCATCATCTCTTGAATAGGCGAAAGAGTACACGGTTGAATTTGTGTCAAGTACTTCAATTTCTCTTCCAGAAGACTCGCCGTATCGTCTAAGTCTTCCTCCTTCGCTTCCTCGTTCAAGGTCTCACCCTTAGTAAAAACTAGGCCATTTCCGTAAGTTACAGCAGTGTCATTGTTTGAACTATCCTCTTCATCCTCTTTGCTGAACCCTAATCCTGTTCTTTCGCCAGAAAAACTGTCGATAGACTGGGAATATTTAGTGGTATAAGATGGAGGCGGTTCACTCCTTTTGACCGGCAACACTGAATTTGAAATTCTGAGTTTCTTTCTGCCAATGTTTTCTATGACTTCCCCGGCATCCATTAGATACACATTAGTATTTTTCTTTTCTGTAGCTGGAGTACTTTCTTTATTTTGCTTTTCTAGGCTGTTTTCAATGACATTGGCAGCACTGGGGAATAAACTTGGGGGAATGGTTGGCTCATCTGTAATATTATCACTACTTGGAAATAAAGGTTTGACTTCTCTTGGTGGCGTACCATTCAATTTAGGACTATTTGGATTACTAACAGGTAGAGTTTCATTAATTGTGTCAAGGTTAGTCTTGGTCTTAACTTTAGGTAGTTCCTTCTTCTCTATCTCTTCTAACAAATCATCAATATTTGTGTCAATAGTGGCTTTTGTATTTTTGTTTTCTTCTATTAAATTTGGTGAAACTGATTTTGATTTGGTTTCATCTTGAATAATCTTTTGTAATTCAACAGGTATTTCTCCACCTAATTTCTCTAGAATTTTTGCTTTATCCTTCAATTTAGTCAACAAAATACTTTCATCTTGGCTGTCTTCATTATCATTAACTTTAAGTTTCTTTATCTGCAATAAATTTATAACATTAAGAAACTTTGCTCACAATATGATGCATAATTAATATCAATTTTTACTTTTTCAGATTGAAAACTTAACCATCATAATGCTTGATATCAAATCTAATAATGTTGAGAAATTATTAGACCTTACTAGGAAATGTGGTATGTTTTAAAGAATTTAAAATATAGCACAAATACATGAGTAAGATCTGAGCAGGAACTATATGCAAGTAGAGAAGAAACAAGAAAAATTACAAGAGCTAATACTACTACATTCCCAACAATATTAAATAGTTATCCTCAAAGCATGTATTCAGGTGCAGAAGGTCATCATATTTTATATAGCTTATCACTTCTTTCACAAATAGAAAACTATACATATCTTACCTGTTCCGAAGTAGATGCAGTATTAACAATTTTTTTATCTGGTAATTTAGATTCATTTTCAACTGGCGGTTCATGTGGTAACTCTGGCCCTATGGGCACTGAGTAATTCTGATTGGGAGGTAAGGTTGGTCCATACTCTACAGGTTTCTGACTTGTTTTTTTCGACTTTTTGTGCTGAGTCTTGGGCAGTTTTGGTGGTACAACTGGTGAAGCTGTTTTCTTGATAGGACTTTCTGTCTCATCATTTGAATCTGAATCTGAGTTGTGATAAGATGTTATCAATTCTATTTTCACACTGTAAAAGGAAACAAAGCAAATAGTTAAAAAATATTGTTAAAACCTTGGCTTTTTTTATTAATAATCACTTACATAGCTCATCACTACATATTATAAAACAAAGTCGTTTCTGTCCTTATATCCCTATGTATGCTTAAATTTTAAAAACTTCGCAATGGATTTTGATACGGTATTTTTGTTTCATAGATAGGGTAATTCAAAAGGAAGGTTTTTATGTATAATACAAGCCCACGCGGGCGAAGCCGCTGGCGGAAAGCTAGTATCCCAATATAAGTACCTAAAGCCTTCTTATTATAGAATATCTTAATAAACAAATCTACCACATCGCCATAACACAAGACAATATAGAAATGTTAATTTGAGATTTTATTGAAAATAATTTTATATTAGTCAAACACAGTACATTTCAATTGTTGAGACTATGTATCACAGAATTTAGAGATTTAAAACAGTAAAATATATTGAAAAAGCTGCTGGTTGCCATCTCCAGTGCTATACTAACAAGATAGAAGTTTCACTGATAAGATAAAACATACTAGGTATCATCATCATGATACTGGCATTTGTGCAATAACTTCATAAAGTTGGCAGTGTAACTTACTCTTCATCATCACTCATTCTTCTTTTAGTAGCCTTTGAGATTGGTGTCTTGGATGGAGCATTCTTGACTGGGTTCACTAAAGCAGCCTTTGAAATAACTTTGCTTTGTGAATTTTGCTTCTCTGCCAATGCTTGCTGATACAACTGCCATTCTTCTGCAGACACTTCTGTGGAACCTTTGAATATAATGATAATTAAAATTATCCAATTTAAAGTAAAATTACTCCAATGAAACAGTTATCTATACTAATAATAAAGCTGAAGAGTATTTTTGTTTATTTGATTGAACCCTAATATCTCTACTGGAACGAATTGAATTATTGTTTTTGTGTTGAATAGTCCTCTTATCAAGGAAGGCTATAATCATTATATGTATCATATCATGCTATGATTTATAGGAGTGGAGCATCAATAAAATTTTTACAAAAACAGGGGGATATTTTACTTTTTTAATGCTTTCCATGCGTATACTGCGTAAACAGTGAAAGTTGCGTGAAAATCAGGTATTAAGAAATTGATTCTCTTTAAAAATTCTTAAAAGATGAACTCGGCAACATGTGTCTATCTTAAATTTTATCCCAAAATAAAGCACATGAAGGGATGAAAATGAGATTAGATTTTCGTATAAGGCATTAAATCGTTACCATAGTAACCATTGTTTAAAATTCAATTTGTCATTGATTTATATTCCATGTCATCATGCGTCATTTTCCGAATCCATTATTAAATGATTTAAGCTGTTTAGGCAGGATTAAACAATGTTTTGCATAATTTTACTCAGTACAATCTTTGTCACTACTATTAAATGGATATATTATATTGGTAATGTACATGAAAATTTTACATTTCAATGCCTCTTCTGTGCACTAGATAATGCTACTGAAAACGAAAAAAAACTCACACACTTTGTATGGGAGCCCCTAAAATACTATTTATTTTAATCTCAACTGTCTAACTATCAATGTTCATGAAAGACAGCCTTATGGTGGCAGAAAATCATGTTTGTTGTATGGGAGACCTCTTAAATATTTATTTTATTCTATTGTTGTTGAAGCGGCAACAAAAGTACATCATTTTTGAAAATGTCATATTAAAGATGCTGCCATTGGTTAATAATAACTACCATTCAGTCTCTCGAGTCTCATGTCTCTCACACTACGGGATGTTGGCAGAATTTCTATGTTTAAGGGAACAAGGCCATTATAAAAAAAAAATGCTGCCAAAAGTCACTATTCCACTCGGAAAAGTTGGAGGCACAGCTAGTCTTACATAAAATAATTTGTACCTGAAGTGTTGAGGTGTTGTTGAGCTAACTTGAGAGCTAGCAGGTACTCCGGTGGTGCTTCCCAAGTGACAGCATTTGTTTGTTGATTCCAGTAATATGTGAAACCACTGCTTTCATCGTAACATGCCGACCAGGCTACAAATTAAAAACATACAATAAAAAACAAATGTTTGATATCACATCACATCGCTCACATCTGAAATGTATTATGAAACCTTTTAGCACTTGTAATGTAAAAATCTGAAAGAATATATAAATCTGAAAAGTTTCATCTCCATCATAATTATTAAAGCACCCAAAATGATTATGACTTTAACTGTACTTCTGTCTTATGTATTTCACAACTTTTTGACTAGGTTCAATGCTTCGCCGGTTATGATGTTAACTGTACCACAATACAAAGGCCTAAGACAATATAGAAAAGTTCATTTCCTTATTGAATCAACGAAGAATCAAATCAACACCTCAGATACCTTAAGACAGCATGTAAGTCACTCAGGCACACAAAGTTATAATAAGACATGTTAATTGATGAGCCTATTTTATATTATGAATGTTTTCTATGATGTATTAGTATGATGGTTTATTAAAGTGGACTAAATTATTCAAAACACTCAAAGCAAATTGCTACTTTGAATAATGAAATGAGATTAGATCAACCCAATATTACTCACGGCAATGTGGAATCGGAGCAGGATGTATTGCAGCCGTTGAATCTGGAGCCATATATAAAGAACCAGTACCCAATTCTGAAGAATACTTTGTTGTCGATTTTACTGTAGATGATCTAACAACACTTGTCTTGGACATAGGGTTTCCATCGTCGGATTCCTCGTCCGAATCACCATAATTACTAATCAAACCCGCTAAAGCATTTGCTTTACTCATTTTAATAATATTTTTAAGGTTATGTGTTCTTAGTCAATCTAGAGCGTTATCACTGCACTTGCACTACACTTCCACTACTGTGGGAATTAAAAAGAATAATTTAACTAAAATCTTTATCTAAGATATAAATTTTAGAAAGAAATAACACAAAAAAAGTTAGAAACTTGCAATTCCACTATCACCAATAATTGCAAACTATTGCAAAATATCGGAAATACAAACATTCAACCATGTTGATTTTTGGTTGGTTGAAAAAAAAGATTAGTTAGGAGGTGAAACGATGTAAATCGACGTTTATGTAGATGTGAATCGATACTCGAGTATTGAATTTATGCATCGTTTCAAGCTAATAAGGGAGTATTTAAAAAATAAATATTAGTTCTTGAAATTAAACTAGATGGAATTAGCGATGTTTGGATCTTGTCTATGATATTCAAACATTCAAATTTTTTTTCTGACGTTATAAAAATAAATTGAGCACCGAAAAATAATAAATATGACATCGTTTCGTGTTTCTTATAATATCTAACTTCCAAATTAATTTTATTTCATTTGAATCATAAGTTTAAGTTATTTATTATGTTACGTGTAAAGGAACGATGTTTGGTTTATATGTCAACATTAGTAATAAGCCAAATTATTGGTTGTTCGTAACTTCAATGACCAGTCTTTTACGAAATATTAAGCCGTTGAATGTTCCATTCTCAAAAACAAATTACAGACGGAATACTTTCCTATTACGAGCGGGTAAGTCCTTTAATGATTTGAGCACGATTTTGGATCTGGATCTTTTTAACTCTAGTTGTGAGTCAATAAGGTCCAAGATGTCGAAAATGTTTTTTGAAAGTACAAGCGAGCGACTATCCGATAAATATCCGATAATAAGGGAAAAAGAAGAAATGTATTGTTTGCATGTGTAATATGTGTCCTTTGTCATACCTTACAACTACCGAGTGAACTCAAAATTGTTACCTAATTTTAAGGCTAACTGTGTGGATCTATAATTGGTTATCTGATTTATGTATTGATACTGTAAGTTCATTTATGCAACCGTTGATCTACCATGAAAAATAAAATAAAAATAAATAAAAATAAAATAACACCTGGCTCGACATCTGCCGTCGACGAGCAAATTTAGTAGTGATAGTATAATAACTGTACGTGTCTTTGTGATTATGAAATTTAAAGATATATCTTGCTGTTCGTTTCGAACGAAGGTTTCTTGTTGATTGCTGATTTTTTATTAAGATGATTTAATTATGAATATACATATTGGGTAAGTATATATTATATTTATGACCTTTGTTGCTGATTAATTAACCCTATTCGTTCATTCACCACACATAATATAAAAATGTGATTGATACTTGATGTAGTTTTGTTGCTATAAGTTCAACAACAAAACTAAGTTATATAGTTGTTATTGTTTTCAAAACTTTTGTTAAATATTATAATGAAAAATTCCTAGACCTACTGTGGCATAAGTATTTTATTTATAAAAACTATTTCACGGTAATATTATTGTATACCGTAGCTAAATGCCACTTTAAATTATTTCACAGCATTAATTCGATTGATTTTCATAACTTTTAAAAAACTTCTGCGCTCACTTCCTTTATGTTAGTTTCCATTTTCCTTTATACAATTAAAAAAGAAAATTGTTCATATATTCGTTCGTATTAATGAGGAAGTATTTAAAAAAAACATTAGTTTCCGAAATCAAACTAGATGTCGCTACGGTACATTCTTGATTTCTCTATGACAACCCTTACGGTTTTCTTAAATGGTTAATAGTAAATTAATTTTAAAAACTCAATAAACAACTTATGTTCTGTTTGTACGTTTTCGTATATATATTGTTTTTATATCTAAGTTTCGAACTTTTCAAATTTTAGTTGTTCAATATGTTACTTAAAAGGTACAGAAATGACTGTCTTTGGTCCATTCGATTCCTGCTAAAATCAACTTTCGCTAGAGTCGCCATGTAGTGAGGTGCTTTTTTAGTGCTTTCGTTTTTTTAAATATTTCCTCATTATAAGTTCTCGATTTCGATAATTACTACTAACCGAATATTGATACAGCCCTCATCTGGAACTGTCATAGAAAAATAATCGTAGGTAAATCAGAGTTAGCATTAGTGTCGTTAATCTTTCGAAACTGTCTACGGTCGAGTTTTTTTTTCGCGGGAAACTCGAAATAGTAGGGCGCTTCTTTCGAAATCTTTAAATATTTTTTGTAATTTCTTCAATAAATAGTGTAAATTTTTAGTAGATTTTTAAGTATAAATATTATTTATAAGCAGTCGTTGTATATTTATAGTTAGACATTAAATTGAAATGACAAAAAAGCGGAAAAAACCAAAGAAAGATGAAGGAGAGAGCTGCTCGGGTGAGATCTTTCCAGATAATATTTCAGAGAGTAGCAACTCTAGTTATTCCGACACATTCAGTGCAAATATTGCAAATGATGAAAAGGAAAAATATGTTCCATATAGGGTTTCTGATTACAGTAGAAGGTATCCTGAAGATGCTGCGACTGGTTTCGAATTTGTAGTCTTTATTGAAAGTTCTATTGAACAGCCTCTCGGTAGCAGGGACATGATGTACCTGAGTGGTTGTCTATCTAGATTTGTAAAGGGCATAAAATACTTAAAAAAAATCAATCGTTTTAAAATTGGCGTAGTTTTTGATCGACCAAATTTAGCAAATGCATTTATGGATAATTCCACATTTTTGAGGGAACAGTCCATCAAAGCTTCAATTCCTGCAGGATGTACCGAATTATCTGGAGTTATTACATCCGTACCCATAGATATGTCCAATAAAAAAATTTATAAAGCATTGTCCAGCTCAAAGAAAATTATTTGTGTCAGACGTATAATGCGTAAAAATAAAACTAGCAGTAACAGTTTCGAATTACAACCCACTCAAACTGTTGTAATAACATTTGCGGCAACATGCCTACCAGATTATGTACATATTAAAATGTGGCGCCTTCCAGTAATTCCATACATCCCTCCAGTAAAGCAATGTTTTCGTTGTCTTAAATATGATCACCTAGCAAAATTCTGTAAAAATGCTCAAAGATGCTCTATTTGTACAGAGGGTCACTCTTTTAAGGAATGTACAGTTCCAGTAGATAAAGCAATATGTATACATTGTAAGGGTAACCATTTAGCGATATCAGGACAGTGCCCAATCAAATTAAAGAAAATTTATGAAAATAAAAACAAAACTGTAAATAAATACTCAGATGCATTAAAATCAAATAATTTTCCATCTTTAAATAAAACAGAAAATACTCATGACATAATGGAATTAGTTTTAAAAAATAGTTCTGCATTAAATCTCATCACTGAAGCAATTGTCAAAGTAATCACATTGAACAAAACAGAAAATGCTAGTATTAGTTCTCAATCAATAAGTAGTGCAATAAAAGAAACTCTATTAAATAAAAATAATTCCCCTCCACATTCCTGAATTGTGTTAATATTGTACAGTGGAATGCACAAAGTTTGCTAAATAATAAACTTGAGTTCCAAAAGTTTCTTTATGATAATAATATACACATAGCTCTAATATCGGAAACTTGGCTCAAACCCAATATAAAAATTGAAATACGCGGATATAACATAATCAGAAATGATTGTGGAAATGATCACAATGGCGTAGCCATCGTCATTAAAAATGGTATAAATTTTCAACAGCTACAAACTTTCTATGATGATACTTTGCAAAATATTTCAATCAAAATAAAAATAAAAAATAAATTTATTTCGATTATAAGTTTTTACAGTCCTGGTAGTGCTAATTTTTCAAAACACAAATTTGATTCTCTCTTGCATAGTGTTCCAAAGCCGTTGATTATAGCTGGTGACTTTAATGCTCATCATACTTTCTGGGGTTGTTCTAGTACTGATTCTCGAGGCAGAGACATCATGGATTCCTTGGATGAGAATGGTTTAGTACTCTTAAACAACGGGATGCCAACAACAGTAGGTTCTCACATCTGGAGGCCCAACGGCCTAGATCTCACTATGGTCTCTTCGTGCTTAGTTTTGTCTTGTGAGTGGTCAATACATAATGATTCCTTAGGCAGTTATCATCTGCCGACTATAACAAAATATTCTCTTGACATTAGTGATGGTGTGTCCTTTGTTGAGTCTTCGAACATTCCTCCACATATTAATCTGAAACTAGTAAATTGGAATTTATATAAAAAATACATAAATGATAACTTGATAAATTTCCAAATCAATAACTCAAACATATTGGAATCATATAATAATTTCTGTTCAATTATTAATAAAGTAGCTCAGGACTCAATAACTAGTATAAATAATAGTAAACATAATAAGGTGGGTCACTTGTCAGGGTTTAAAAAAAGAACACTTCCTTGGTGGAATGATAATTGTGCTAAAGTGGTTCAAAATTGCAAAAAGGCTTATATACTGTTTAAATCTAGTCCTTCTTTATGTAACTATATTAACTTCAAAAAGGCGCAAGCCCTAAAAAAACGCACTTTACGTCAGGAGCGCTGTCAGTCTTGGCTTGAATTTTGTACCTCTGTTAATAGATTAACACCGATGAGTCAAGTGTGGACTCAAATGAGAAAATTAAAAGGTTCTACCTCTAATACCACATTGTTTTCCAATTATGAATGGAGTTCTGATTTTTTATACAAATATACACCAGATACTGTCCAAAATGATAGCAATCTTCTGCCAGACACCCAAGTTAATAATACTAACTCTTACATGATAGAACCATTTTCACTTCAAGAATTAAAATCTGCTTTAAATTCTAGGAAGGAAACTGCTTGTGGATTAGATTGGTTGTCATATAAAATGTTCAAACTGTTGAATGATACCAGTCTCGAAATTTTTTTAAATATTTTAAACTTGTTTTGGTCTCTGTCTATTATACCAGAAGAATGGAAGACAGATTGTTTGGTTCCAATATTAAAAAAAGGGAAGGATTCTAATTCTGCTCACTCATATCGCCCTGTCACACTCAGCTCTTGTGTAGGTAAAATTTTTGAGCAGTTAATAAAACAAAGACTGACATTCCATATAGAAAACAATTATATCTTACCATCTAACCAATTTGGCTTCCGATGTGGCCGTTCTGCTCGGGAGAGTCTAAGCCATTTGTGTCTGGACATCCATGATACTCTGTCTCAGAATAAAATTATGGCATGTGTCTTCTTCGATATTGTAGGGGCTTTTAATAATGTTGATTTAGGTGTTTTATATTCAGTTTTGTTATCATTAAATATACCTGCAAAAATAGTAAATTGGATTTACAAATTTTTAAATGGCCGTAAGATATTTGTGAAAATCAATAAACAGTTAATTGGTCCAAGATATTCCTATAAAGGAGTGTCTCAAGGTGGGATATTAAGTCCCTTGTTGTTTATTTTATACATCCATCAATTAAATATTGTTTTAGGTAATAATGTTTCTAACCTACAATTCGCTGATGACTTGGTAGTCTATTGTTCAGGTTTGAATAAGCTGGATATCCAAAATAAACTTAATACTGCCCTAAAAAGCCTACAAAAATATTTTCAAAATCTCAATCTAGATGTGAACAATGAAAAAAGTAAGGTAGTCATATTTTCAAAAAAAGCTGTAAAACCTAATTCAATTAAAATATACTATAACAATGAAACAATGCCTATAGATAATACAGTTAAATTCTTAGGTGTTACATTTTGTAGCAATTTTAAATGGAACAGGTATGTTGATTATTTAGCAAACAGAGCTCTCAAAGCTTGCAATATTTTAAAATCTTTAGCTGGAGTATATTGGGGTGCTGATCCAGCTACACTGTTAGTTCTGTACAAGTCTTTGGTTAGGAGTCATTTTGAATATGGTTTTCTATGTTATAAACAGGCAACTAATTTGGTAGAGAAATTAGAAAAAACTCAAAATAAATGTTTAAGGATCATTACAGGTGCCATGAGATCAACACCAATCATCTCTTTACAGGTAGAATGCAACATACCTCCTTTATCACTAAGGTTCAAATATCTTCAAGCAAAATTCTTTCTCAGTATTTTTTCAATCAGTGATCACCCTCTTGTTTCTAAGCTAAGACATGCTGCCAGCAAAGCTGATGTCGGTTCAACCTCATTAATCCAGGGTTTTACTGAAAATGTACAGTTTTTTCATGATAATAATTTGTTTTCTAGTATTATTTGGCCTTGCTATTTAGGAAATTACAATTCAAAATTTTGTAAAGTTAGTATAGTTATAAATGAACAAAAATGTAAACAAGATGTATATAGACAGTTAGATAAGTGGAGGGATTACAATCATTTATACACAGATGGCTCTAAAAACAATAATGCTGTATCCTTTTCTGTGTATAATAAACAAACTCGAAGTGGGTTTGGACATAGGTTAAATGATATGGCTAGCATTTACACAGCAGAATCTCTTGCTATTTTATTTGCTCTGGAATATATTGCAAGTCAGCAGGGAAAGAAATGGTTAATAATTACAGACTGCATGAGTATATTAAAATCACTTCAAAACCCTAAGTGTATTTCAAAAACTAGTTACATAACTCACAACATTCGTAAGCAATATTCTTCTTTGTCTCATTCTAAAGAAATCACTTTTTTCTGGACTCCGTCTCACATAGGTGTGTTTGGAAATGAACAAGCAGATTACCTGGCTAAATCAATTGTTGATCATTATGAAAGTGTCCCAATTTTAAATTTTCCAATTCCTGCTTCTGATGCTTTATCTCATGTTAAATCCTCAGCTGTCAAGGAATTTTATGACGAATGGCAACAAATTGTTCAAAACAAAGGAAAGTGGTTGGCAGAGATTAAAACCAAGATTTCTCCTCCATGGTTCTATGGAGGAATCTTTCGAAACAGAAAATTCTACACCACTATTTGCCGATTACGCTTAGGTCATTGTCGTTTTGGTGCCCACTTGTTTCGCCTTGGAGTCTTATCTTCATCAACATGTGAATTTTGCAACCTTGCTGAACAAACTCTTGATCATTTAATTTTCAGTTGTCGTTCTTTTAGTCTCCAACGTATAATTCTTATAGACAGTCTTCTGTGTATATATAAAAAAGCTGATGACATCCCGCGTTCGCTTCAGCAACTTCTGAAGAAAAAGGAGTGCTTTGTATATATTTACGAATATGTAACCTCAACCATTGGGGAAATCTAACGTTGTTTTTTCTATGTCAATTTAATTTTGTTTATTTTCAATTTCCTTCGTTTGTATATTTCGCTTGTTAATTTGTAAATAAGATGTAATCACATAAAGCTTAAAAAGACTTGGCTTCGGCCTTTTGACTTAGACTGAGAATACAAATTTCTATTAAAAAAGACTTGGCTGTGGCCGTTGAATAAGAATATTAATGAATATAATTACAAATGACAAGGCTGTATGGGCTAAGCACCCTTTGCCTTCCCCTTCCCCTGTAGGAATGGGAAAATTTGAACCAAAAAAAAAAAAAAATGTCTACGGTCGAAACCAATGAGGTGTCAAAATTAATTCATTTTGCGCTCGGAGTAAATGGCCATGCATCGGTGGCGCTGTAGCGCGCAGAATTATGAAATGCATTATTCTCAAGATTATTGTATGTTATACTTTTTCATTATAGGTATTTAAAATCTTACTAAAAACTTATTACCATTAATGATTATTGATTAACCACTACCGTCATGTTTTAGTTTTCGGGCGATTAGTTAAAGCGAAGTGCAAATACCTTTGTTTTTTAATTTTTATATTCAAAATACGTCTATAGTCTTCATTTTATTCAATAGGCAATGAACTGAGCTACATGTAAAACAAATAACTTTCCACAAATAACCTTATTTCTTTAACTCCCGTTAACGAAAGCAGAGTTTATAAAATATTAAAATATGAATTAAACAACAAAACACTGGATTCTGGGGAAATCCACAAGGGCAACGCCATTAATTAAAAAGAAGAAGAAGAACGCTTTCCGCCCGCTGCCCCCAACTGCGCGCCCCAAGATTTGGCTGTATGGCTTAGTTCCTTCGCCTGTCCCATGGACGAAACTACTACTACTACCAACTGCGCGCACAATCGCACATTTTTTCAAATAAAAAGTATTTAACCACCTAGGTCATTTTTGAATATAGTCATTGTGAGATTGTTCTGAGATTGTGAGGAACTGGGAAGGGTAATACTTCTTCCTCATGGGGGTGAGTAAGTTTTTTTATAATAGATATTTTTTACATAATTTATCCTATAAATTATATAAAAAAAACTACCTTGAAAATACATGTCGTAGGTATTTAATCAATGGTTTTTTTAATTGGATTATGTTAAGTTTGTCTACATTAAAATATGCTCAAAAATAAATCAAAAATCATAGTCAAACAAAGTTATTACCAAAATTTATATAAACCAAAATGTTAAAAAATATAAAGCTAATGAAAAAAATAAAATCAATTAATGTTTTTATAGCTAGAGTTAGACTATGTAGTCGCAGTTTTACCAACAATCAGGCTTTTACAGTAACATATTGTACTAGTTTTATAACACTCAATAACAATCATTATCTTACTAATATTGCATCCGACCCGTCATGAGATATGGTGCTGAAACATGGACACTCACAGTAGGCTGGTTCACCAGTTCAAAGAAGCTCAACGTGCTATACTCGGATTCTCTAAGAGGTAAAATTCCTAATGATGCCATCTGACAGAGAACCAAAGTCATCGACATAGCACATAGCATTTGTAAGCTGAAGTGGCAGTGATCTGGCCATATCTACCGACGAACCTGTTACCGATGGGGTAAGCGAGTTCTAGAGTGGAGACCGCGGATCGGCAAGCGCAGTGTAGGAAGACGTCCGCAAGGTGGAGCCATTATTTGAGGAATGTCTTTGGTAGGTAATAGATGGGAATAAACCAAAATAGGAAAACAAAGGAGCGTATCGGGGGAAGTCTATGTCCAGTAGCGTTACCATGAGTTTACAATGACCGTACTCGCTAGCGACTCCATATAAATGATTTATATGGAGAACTGTACAGCGCTCCTACCGGTCACTTGTGAAACTAAAGATTGCTAGTATGAGTCCTATAGTAAAGTTACGGACTCGCTAGCGATTAACGTTTTTTACGTTTCGTAGCTTATCCCATAGAACATCGGTGCCATGAGTTACAAATTTGACAAACGTCATCGAGAAATACCGTAGCGACTGTAGTTAACTCTCTCACTTGCAAAACATGACGTGAAAACTTATTACTCTTGTTAGAATATTGTTTAATATATTATTTTCAGTTATTTTTGATGTTAAATTTAATAAAATCATGATATTACCAATAGCACTAGTACTTGATTTTTATAAAGCTAAATGGGGTTATAATCAAAGAATTTTTATAGGTAATGTTTTATTTATTTGTAATTACAATTACTTTGTATATTCAATCACTAGGCAAGTTTACTAGTATGACTGAGTTTAAAAGTTACATTACATAAGGACCTATGAAGAAGAAGGATTAATTTTGCCAGTTTGAGTAGAATATGAAAAAGGCTAAGTTTCATAAATATAAATATACAAATTAGACATAAAACACTAAAATACACTAATATTTGTACGCGTGCGGTACATATAAAAGTTCACTTTTTTATTGTCACTCAGTAGGCTCAGTTGCACAAACGTGCATTAAGGTTTAATTACGACTTGTTAAATTACGAATGTTCTGAATTTGAAAATTTGTAACGTCGCTTTAAAGTGATGACAATTTCAATGGACATTTGTGCAACGGGGGATTAGTCTAGTATAAAACTATATAAAGTAGAAATTATGACAGATTTCTTTACTATATATAAAGGTATTTCTGTATTTCCGTTTAAAACATGCATTATTTAAAACGTTTGATTGTTCTAAAAAATATCGAAATCGTACTCATAGGTATAATATTAAATAAAGGTAACTTTAATATAGGTATACATTTAGCTTTGCAGTTTCAATATTGTTATTCAATAGTTTCGATTCAGTAGAAAATACATCTGGAAACAATAAGTAAAGCCTTAAAAGAAGATTTCACACCAAAATACATAAAAGGCGATGTAGAATTGATAAATAAAAAATATTAAATGGGTAATGAAACTCACTTAAATATTAAACATAGACATTAAATCTGAAAAATAATAATTACAAGAATATTTAAACTTTATTACACGGTACTGTACAACTTTCTTAGCTACGTGGGTAAATTAACATTAAGTTCTTTGCTATCCTTCATGACAAATCTCGAAGGATAATGTAAATGAATTAAAGTAGCGATGTTTAAAAATGACTTAATCTTAAATCTTTATCACCATTAATATAAGCTTCTTAAATCACTATAACTACAATAGCTTCTAGTTATTCCTCAACGGTTGTACTCAATATTCAGGAAAGCCTATGTCTATTTCTATTTTAACTAAATTCATGTTTGGTAATATAATAATAAATTATAGTTTAATAAACTCTTCAAAAATATGTTTATCAACAGACTGGTAACTTTCAGACTAACTTATTCAATATTAAAAAAATAGGTAGTTGAAAATTTATGGCTTTTTACATAATTAACTGAACTTTTTCATTTGTTACCGATTGACTATACAAGGTTCACATGTCCCCGGTTTTAAATAAGCGGGATGACATTGCGGGCACGCAGGATTTTCACCAAAGCTGGCTCTGCCTGTTCTTCCAATTTTCACTTGAAAAGATGTGTGCGCGTCTTCATCCTCGTAACCAGGGTGAGGTTTGTCAAGTGGGAAAATATAATCAGGCACGAAATAGGAACTTATATTATATTCAGTGTTACTAGGAGTGGGATCTACTGTAACTGGTGTCGGTCGGGTCACAGTACTGAATGGACTTCTACCTTTTATACTCTTGGCTTGGTGCTCAGAAGTTTCGTTGTTTGTATTATTGCTCGATTTGGGCGGTTCCAAATCGAATGCTGGCACTGCCCATTTCCACTCGTAGTATACCGGCGGACCCATAGTTGTCGAGGGCAAATCGGAGAAATCTGTTTTAGGCGGTAGGAGGTTCCTATCAGGTTTTGGGATAATATTTGAAGACACATCACTATCAATAGCATTACCAGATTCAGTAACAGTTGGCTTTAAATTACTGGTATCAAACCGCGACCCTTCTGTTGAACTTTTAACATTGACATTGTTCAATTTGTTTAAGTCATTTGTAACTGCTTGCTCTCTTTCTTTGCTCTTATCTGTACTAGTGTCCTCAGCACTGATTTGTCCTTCTGGAAGATGTTTGTTAAGGTTGATGATCTCTGATTTTGACATTGCAGTCTTATGTGAATCCGGAGAGTTCGGGTCGAACCTTCTAATGAAAGTGTATACGGGATCTGGAGTAGTTTTTTTCCTGACGTCTATGTCATATTCCTCAGACTCAGGTGATTCGGTAGTGGTAATTTTATCAGGCAGTGGAGGCCTTAGGTCAAGTGATATACTTGGTCTTGATTTTGTCGGTGAGGAGAATTTATTCAAATCAGGCGGTGGTGTCGGTATCCTCGTCTTTTCGTTGAAACTATCATCAGGCGTTGTTTGGAATGTGGGTATTGGTTCTTGAGAGGCAGCTCCTGTTAGATTGTCCTGGTCGTAGTCCCGAGTGTTTTTATGGTTTCCTGTGCCGGTGGACCAGGATGACGGGGGTCTATAGTTCTGTTTTGCATTGTCCAAGCCGTTATTGTTTGAGAAGGAGATCGTATCAGCAATGCCGACGATGCTGTTTCCAGGGTGAATGGGATACTGTAAATGGAAAATAGTATGATTAAACCAAGCAATAAGAAATATTACGACGAATATGTAACACTTACTTAGTTACATTTTATGCCAGTAAAATTACTGGCAAGAAGTGTTTAAATTCTCTATGCAGGTGGGAACCTAAAATTTAATACAGGTAAGTACGCCGTAATGTAGTGAAAAAAAATACAATATATCTTTTGATAAGATATTAATCATTTCATAATAAATTATACAATAAAAACATTAATTTTTTGAAATCATAAAAATCTGTACTATTCTTTTAAACAGCCTCATACTTTTGAAATAGGTTAAATTTTATTGAGTCTCGATGCTGTGACAACACTGCGTTCAATAGCGAATTTGTGACTGCTTTTGTACCATATTATATCTATCACTGATAACACTGCTGATTTAGAATTATGAAGATTTGTTTTATTTATTTTTCATCATGAATGCATTTTATTATCGTTTGTTTGTAAATTAATGGTTATAATTACCTTAGATTCGGCTTCACGGAGACCATCATAGTAGTTGTCGTTGGGCGGCACCGACAAGATGTCGGGGCGCGGCGTTCTTCGCTTCATGTCCTCTTCAGAAACAAAAGGTTTGTCGCGTTGCCCTGAAACAATAGTCATTGATATAAATTAAGAATGATTAGTCTGGAAGATATTGTAAGTAAAACATAATAATAATATCCTCCAGATTTAAAGCTATGCAATTAGCAGGTGTTAAGTTGCTCGTCTGTGGTTTGTCAATGGTGTCAGCGTTTGTGGACTTGCGGTAGGGTCCGGTTACTTTTGCCACCTCGTTGTCGCCATCCGATACCTCTGGCTTCACTGCCAATGTCGTGGTTTTTACCTTCGTAATGGGAGATGCTTTACTATGATCGGAAGTTGATTAAATGAGAGTTTCAATTACAGTTATATAAATCTGCTTATATGTAAATTCGTTTCTTAGTAAAGTTTTAGTGTTAAAGTACTTGCGTTTTGAAACATCATGTAGTGGCCGCAAGTAAAGTCATAAAAAATAATGTACAAAATATTATTAATTACACTAAAGGTATTACTTCTTATACCAGGTACGGTAATCACAGTATGTGCTATGTTAAGTATTACATAACCTGTATTATTGTGGCCACTGCGTTGCCTCGTACAAGGGCGTTCACCTAACATTGACACTACTTCTACGATTATTCACTTTATCATATAATACTTAACTTTAACGCGAATCACCAGACTAGGTATTTGTTTGTTGATTTTATTAACTTTTAATATAGTGAGTGTTGGTGAAGCTTTACTTTAATTTCAGAAATTAGCTTTTCCTTGGTCCCAAAATTCTGATGAGACCTATATTTTGGATCTCTTGTCATTATTGCAAGCATTGGTTTGGGAAGGTATTAATATATATATAAACCTTCCTATACCTATAATAGTCAAAATATAATGTAGAAGATTTTTGTTAAAAGGTTAAAAGTTTCCAACTCTATAGAATACTGTATCTCGAAAAAAATTTACATTACCCTCAATTTAAACAGATGTCTGTTATGATATTTTTATTCTTTGATCGTTTATATTCATTTGTAAACCATTACGATGAGATAGCTGAAGTCATAACATTGCACACGTTTTCTCAGAATGGATTGCATCCTTTACAAGTACGCAGGTGTCGAATTCGATCGTGCCAACATAAAAGGTTTCATGAATAGAGTTAAATGAGAGACAAGGATACAGTTATTACAGCCAATGGAATTCTATAGTTAAAACGAAATGACACTGATTCCCATCTGAATAGAACTACCTATGGTAAAACACGAAGTGCAGTCGTACAAAGGTCCAAATTAAACAGAATTGTTGGTGCTTATGATCTATTGGTTTGTGATGGTTTTACCTTGAATTAGGTTATATAATGATATGAATAATTTGGTCATGTGTAACTACTAGGTTCAAGTATAAAATACAGATTTATAAAAAATATATTGTATAGGTACATATATTATTATAAGTTCAACACTCTGCATGCGATGTACGTGCGTGCAACGATCTTTAACTCAATGTTAATGTACAAATTAAAACATTATTATTAAGTAAGCTTTTTAGGTTCGGATTATATTCCAGATGATGATACTCGAACTAAAGTTGATATCTCTACTGATTATAAGTATTTAAACATTCTTGAAATTGATACTGTTCCATTAATTTAACGAATAAAAGCATTGTTTTGGTTATTAATGATAGTTTAGCATAAATGTTGTTCGCGCATTTAGTATCGGTAGAGTACCCGCTATACACCTCTATCTACTGTCTACTTCTTTATATATTGGTACGATAAGACTCCTATCTCTTTCACTTATAGTAAGTATACAATTTATCCTGATTTCCCTACATCGTTAGTCAACGTTAAGGAACGTGTAGCTGAAGTTAAGCATAGGCGCGAAAATAAATCTACAATTTGTGACCAGCAGTTTGGAGAACCCAAGCATTACACAAGATTTGACAATTTAAAAATACTTCCAGCTGAACAAAAACTTATCCCTAGAATGATACGCGATCCAGTCTAACCTGGCGGTTGCGTGGAAGTAATTGCTCTGTAGCGATAAGGCCGCCATTTGTACAACTAATCTGTACGAATTGTAATTATCTATAAATATGGTGAACAATAAAGAATTTATTCATTCAGACAAAATTTCCAAGTTTGGAACTGCTGGTAGATTACTGTTCTGTAGTAAATAAATAAGTCAAATGTATTTTTAAAATTTAACTTAATATATGTAAACGTTTTCATAAAACATAAGATTTTTTTGTATTGTGAATGTGTATAATAGTATTGTTTTGAAGAACTCTTAATTAAAAAGACAATCAACACCTTAGTCTTATGTAACACGGTACCTGTAAAGGGTCCGAAACGTCAATAAAACTAAATACAAACGCAATGAAATCAGAAACAAAAGTTGTTTCATTTAAAAGAAGGTTATTAAGGAAAATAGACTACACAAAAACCAAGCAGTAGTACCAAATATTTATATTTAGAGAAATATACCGTGCTGGATACTTTTGTTTTTGTTGTTTTTTTTTGTGACATGTTATGTCATTGGGAGATGTCGAATATGTGATGGGGTAATATGCCTAAGTTTTTATAACCATACTACATAATATGGCTCAGAAATATTAATTTGATTTAAAATCAGTAAAATAAACTTCAAAATCTACTTTAATAACTCATCTCGGTAGGTCACTATATAAACGATTACAACTTTGTGTCAGCAATTATATTTAACTATACGGTTTAAGTTGCATATTGTAATTATTACAATAGGCCAATTATAATTCCAAGGTAGCTATAATTTTTTTCTTGTGAGACAACATCATAAACTTCAAATGTCAATGAAACCACTTTTATGTTATTTTATCCAATTACATTCGTGGAGACAATAGAAGATTATGGTGATAAAATAAAGACTTTTTAAGAAGGCATATATACGTATCTAGTGTAGAAATCGCCACCCCTTACTTAGTTAGAAAAACTGATATAAACTATACCAGTGATAAAAATAATAATATTAAGCCATTTCGTCTGATAATTTGATTATGGTTTACATAATTAAGTTGTTTATAATATATCTCTGAGTTCAGTGTCTTGCCCTCCTCTGGCATCTTACATTGGTTTCTGTTTCTTGCAACTCTTTTTTTACTAAGTCCTGCGGTTAGTTTTAGCCTACCCATCTTTTAGCCTTATCTTTCTCTACATCGTTTACTGTCTCTAGAATAGCACTCATTTACTACCACTTTTCCTGAGTACTCCTTAATATATAGCCAGTCCACCTCACTTTAATAGGTCAATTTGCGTGAGAATGTCGCGGGTTTATTTTTGTACTTTATAAGGGCCGAATGAAAGTACTTGGCTTTTGTTGTTTGTATATTTTTTGCTACTTCATTTCTTTTCTTTATAAATATTTCTCTCATATTGTCATTTTTGGGATTCCGTTTGTGTTGTTTCCACAGTTTATTTCGAATGTTAATTTGTTGTATTAATTCCTTATTTATCCAATCTTTTCGAGGAGGATTTTGTACTTTTTCTTTTTTCGTCTTACTTTTTATAATACAATTCAAAAGTTTTTCTTCTAATTCTCCTAATATATACGATTGACTTTGATCAGTTATATACTTGTCCTGCATAGTTTTATAAAGAATTTTATAGTCTATAGCTTCGTACTGTAATTTCTTTGGAGGTGCTAGCTGACATCGTTTGAGTTCTATATATAATTGTTTATGATCTGAGAGAGGTGTGTCTAGGATAACCATATAAAAGTAGTTTTCCTTCAGATTTGAGCTTACATGATCAATAATCGTTTTGCTTGTTTTGGTCTCTCTGGTACAAAAATATTCATCAATCTTGTTTACAATTCTGTAACCACTTTCACGAAGAGTTTCCTTGTACAAAATCGTTGCACGATCTGATTTGAGGAGATCAAAGTTTAAGTCACCAATAATGATCGCTCTTTTGCGTTTGGTAATTTGATTTGAATAGTCATCTAAAAATTGTTGTAAGTTCGTATCTCTTTTCCTGTATACTACTCCAAAATCAATGTGACATTGTTCAAGGTGTATCCATAGGTAGTGGTGCCCGTTTATACATGCATCTTCAATATGGGAGTGCTTTAAATTATTGTGTATGAAGATTGACACCCCACCACCCCTCATATTGATCCTGTGATTATAATAATGCGTGTAATTTGGGATTTGAAAGTATTTTGCCTCTGCTTCAGACTTAATCCAAGTTTCAGTTAGAATAATAATGTTTATAACGTGTTCAAACCCTTTGAGTATGCATTGCAATTCATCAAATTTACCCAGTTTGACTATGCTCCGCATATTAGCATAGTATATTTTCAAAGATTTCTTTTGTGAGACAATATTTTGGTATTTATCGGTTACTTGGTAGGTGTTTATATTTGTATCTTGCAGAATATAGTTTCCTTTCGATTTTATTGTTTTTAGTTTTTTGGAATGTTTTTTACTATTTTGGGCACATTTTTAACATATTTTATTGATAAATATTCTTCTCCTTGTTTAATTCTTTCATTCAATTCTGTGGTAAGTTCTTTCAAGTATGTTTTTTGCTGAGGCGTTTTATCAGAATATAGTCTTATATTGTCATTTTTTATGTTTGCCCTGTTTCTCAGTATGGTTTTTGCTGCAGTCAGATTGTCGAACTCTATTTTTGTTGGCCGATTTTTACCTGGTGTGAATTTTCCCAAACGTATTACTTTTTTAGGTTCTGGATAATTAGCGCAAATTTTAGTTAATAATTCTATTACCGCATTCCTGTCCGTACGCATTCTTTCCACTTTATCTTTCACTATGTTTTCAGGGATGCCAGTAATTATAATATTTTTGCATCTATTCTGTCGGTCACTTATTTCTGCCACTATATTTTCAGTTCTGTAGGATGTTGAGGAGGTATCTTGTGTTGCCTTAATACTCTCCACATCCAAAACTAGGCTTTCAATTTTCTCTTCTGTGTGTTTATTTTTATTACACAAGTTTGCAACGTCTGATTTTACTGTTTTGTGTTCGGCATTTAAGTGGTCCACAGTTAACTTTATGTCATTTATTTGTTCTTTTAGATCGGCCACATCCGAGGAAATTTTTTCCATAAATTCCTTTTGATTTGTGGACATAGTAGTTAGAATAGACATTACTTGTGTCATTTTATTTGTTAATTCGGTCACTTCATTTTTTATTATTGTAATATCCCGTTCCTCCTCTGTTTGTTTTCTTTTATTTCGATAGGCGATCGTGTGGTCTTTGTTAAGTTGAGGATCACTATGTGCATCTCTCAAGTCACTTCTAGATGGTGAGCGTACTACACTCATTGCAATATCCGTGTTCCGCAAAGTTGGGTAGTCACACTCGTCAACTTTATGCAGAGATCGCTTGGCGGCACAACGTTGTAAGTCTAGCACTGACTTCAATCGAAAATTTCACTTTTAAAGTCAAGAATAGGTTTGCAAATGGCTTGGAAGGTTATGAATTATTTTATAAGCACTCCAGCGACACGTCTGCCGCGCACGGTGCCCAACGGACTTTCCGTTACTCCTGTCTTCGTTCTTATAACGGAGGTTCTTATTTTCATCTTATTTCGTAATAATTATCTATAGAAAGTAGAATACCAATGATGTCATGTAATAATTAGGCATTGATAAATAAACCATAATCAATAGAATAATACTGGAGCGGTGGCCCGCGGAGGCATCCCTAGAAATCCGTGGAGATTTTATTAAATAAACAACTCTTTATTTCTCTACTTTTAGATGTTACTTAATCTTCGAGAAATAATACTACTTAATCTTAGAGAAATAATGGACTAAATAGGTGTTGAATGGCCAGATAGAAATTTATACAACGGTCTCTATTTACTGAAAGATTGAACATTGCGAGTCCTTGAAATATGAAAATATTGAGCTAGGTGTTCTTAGGGAACAGCTCGGCTGCGCCAGCTATTCCCGTCCATTCTCTGATATTTTGGAGCCACGATTTCTTCCTCTTTCCACAGCTTCTCCTCTCAAGAGTTTCTTTCATTATGAGTTGGAGAAATTCGGATTTCTGATGTTGAACAAATGTTAATGGAACCCTATTATATTCAACTCAAAGAATCTGAATCTTAAAACGTTGCTGCAGTAGATGTGATACTAAAATTATGACATTTGTACTCAACAGCTTAAGCGCCAATGATCTATACTATGCCAATGATGATGAATATCTTGGACATTGATACAAGCACGATGGAACGGATGACAGCATATCATATTCCAGTTTACCTATTAGCAGATTAGCGCTGTAATCGCTTTCCGATTTCGAACAGTTGACCATATACCAGTGGTCGCAGATCAACATCCTCTGCTGGAACAGCGTTGTATTGGGACACGTGTAACTGAACTGCCGGCCCAGCCCATCGCACATGTGATACACCTGGAATGATAAAAAGTAACATAAGCCTTGCGGTAGAATTAATTAACAACTGATATAGACGTGATAGATAAAAATTCTTGAAATTTTAAAATGAGAATTTAAGGGAACCAAATAATTTGGAGTATTCGTTTTTTCTAATGAAGTTTTGAAAAACAAAGCATCTTGTTTATCTTCAGTGTGCAACGCAGGCAGTACATTATCGTCCAATACCATTATTAAAGATAATTATGATGTACTTATATCATAATCCATATTTAAAGAATACCATCTAAAATGGTCAAACATATACGAGATATTTGGAGCCTTGGAAATTTTTATTTATGGTACACTTTTTTTACAATGAACACAAAATATTATTATTTGAAAAGACATGTAATTTGTATAACAAAAAACAGATACTAATGTAATTATAATAAATTATGACATAATAATAATACACTAATAATTTCGCAAATAATACGTAATAATATATCAAAAACTAATTATGATGAATTGTTACTTTTGTAAAGGTTTATACGTATAGAGATTGATTACTACCTTAAATTCCTTACCAATAGCCTTAGCCAAATTACAGTTTAACAATCAGGTAGGAAGCGTTATAAATTATTTAACGAGTTTAATTAAACAAATATTCACGCTTCCGACATGCCAGGAAACGAAGTCAGCTATTTGTTGCATTTTGAATACTTTATGGTGTTAATGATTATTAAAATTATAATTTCTCTATAATTTTATAAAACCATAACTAAGAAGGGCATGGAGTTTAATTTTAACGATTATAACTACCGATATTTTGGCTGCTACCGCTTACGTGTTATTTTAAATATTATACGTGTTTAAATGCAAAAGAGCCAAAATAGCAGGTGAAACTAACTGTTCGGCTCACAGAAATGATATAATTTACTTTTGTAGTTCGCCTCATACATGTGTGCGATAATCATTTATTTTGCCCCATCCGAGAGTTTCATTCTGATTACACACAATGAAATTTGTAAATGTTCCTACTATTATACTAGGCTTTAGCTTACTGCTACTACTGATAAGTTTCACATTATATCTATTTTCATACATTATTGCTGTTCTTTCTTGCTATTTTTCAAATACTTGGTCGTCGTGCATTTTAAGGACCAAGAAGTTTATAGTGTATTATATTTTAAATTCTTGTTACAAATCTAAATATACATATAAAGGTAGAGATCAAACTAATTGTGAAAATTTAACGTATTATGGTAAACTGACGTACAGCCATGTTAACTACGGAGGTTTTTATTTTTTTAGGAACAACTTGTATATAAAACAACATATAAGAATATATGACCTACTTACTTATTACTTATTTTACATAAGATAATTTAACCAATATATTATAAACTTGAACCTGATTTTATTGCAATCCACTAGTTTTTAGTGATATTTTATGTAATTATTCAATTTTTGATCTTTTCTATCAATAAAACTATCAAATTAAACGACAATCCGAAGGTATTCCGCTAGTCTCATCTAATAAATTAGAAGGTTAATAACCGGTTTATATGTCAAGTGGAATATTATACAATAGTTGTATTAATATTTTAGAGAATTATAAGATTTAACTGAAACTATAACAATTATGTACATGAAAAATATAGGGGTCGTTTCTTCTGATTTCCTATAAGTAGCCTTTTTAATATTTATATTATTATAGAAAGCAATGAACTCCCAAAGCGATCTTGAGTAAGTATTGCACATTCTCAGTGGTATTAATAAACAGGTTTAGCGTCAGAGTAAACTTTCGCTCAAATTTCAATTTTAGTATTAGTCCAAATTCTTATTACACAGAGAATAAGCAAACCTACTACCTTCTAGGAATAAATATTACTCCCGTAGAACCTCGTACTAGGTTAATAATATGAATTTTGTTTAGTACTAAGTGCAGTCTCAGCTTATGTTTACTCCAACGCTAAACCTTGTTTGATAATAACACTGTCTATGTTTAAATATATCGACTAATACAGACTTAGTACTCATCAAAAAAATCAAAACATCAAAAAACCGAATTAAATTGTTCACAGAGCTCTGCACATCAAAATTGGGAACCATTGATAAATAAAAAAAAGAAGACACGAATAAACGTTTTTGACACATTGGAATTGCTCCCTTTTTTCGATGATGACTTTAATTTGTCTGTTGAGTTAGCGAGTGGACCTGCTGGGTCACCCAAAAAACATCGTCCCGACTGGCAAATAAGAGATGCATTGGTCTCATGCTAAGTGGTCTTCGATTAAAAAAATATCATTTTTAGCAGACAGCCGACGAACAAAACTGGCCAAAATTACTGTGTATATTGATAACTGATGTAAGAGTAGGTATATGCGCACAGAAATATTTTTTTATACAGTGTATATGCGGGTCATTTGTTTCAGAAAGAAAAATATGTGTTTCATCTAAAAAATTAAACACACATTTATTATTTTCTTAATCTTCTCTTGAAAAACTATAAAAAGCATTACGCATTACTAAACAATAGTTTAGTTCGATAATGTAGAATTCTTTTCATCAATTTCAAAGTGAAAAGTTTCAATTTCAGTCTTTATCGATTTTTTGCTCCAATTGTATTTCGATTTTCAAAAATTAAAACGCAAGTTTAGTGGATCTAAGGGGATCATTCTTAGCAGACAATAAATAATAAATTACAATAAAATCATTATCAAAATTTAAGTAACAATTAATACTTATAACAACAGACACAAAAATTCCGCTCAACTTCAATTACATTATGAACAACCCTTAAAATCGATGTTATTTTCCATGTGTTTTAACCAAGCTTTTATTTTTTTTTAAATGGTTCCAACAGTAACTCTATCGTTTATACCATACTACTTTAACTATGTACATATAACCATCCTTATCCTTCAGAAGTAATGCCCCTCCAATTGGCTGCCAAACCGCAAACAATGCCATACTAATTATAAAGTTTATAATAATTCCTTTAATTATATCAACGCGTTAGGGCTGCCTTCAAATATCACTTAAGTATATCAATTTCAAGTGCGTTTAATTTTCCAAAACCGAATTTTAATTAGAGAATTTATTGCTAATACTGTCTTTCTAGTACATAAAAACATAATATTTTTTTTTTTATAAAAACAATATTTATCAATAAGTATTATTTTTATTTACTTTTCTAAATTAAAAAGAATGGAGTTATACTAAGAGATATCCAACCCTAAGTACTTACTATACTTTTTATGTCTCTTGTGTTACCTGTGTGACTGGTTCGATGCTTAGCTAAGGAATAAAAGGCTGACTAAGCTTGAAAATTTAATTTATTTGAGGGTAATAAGAAAAACCCGTTTCTGGGGTTTCCGTACTACTTGGGAGATATTTCACGAAGGTAGCTCGGTGGTGTAGTGGATAAGCGCCGCGGCCCGCGATCGTTGTCGTTAAGCAACGTTCGCAAGGGTCGGTCACGGGATGAGTGACCAAAAAATTATTATCTCGAGCTACTCCGTGCTTCGGAAGGCACGTTAAGCCGTTGGTCCCGGCTGCATCAGCATACGTTTACATTTTTCTTATTTAAATTATAATAACTTTATAATTATTAGATTTATATTATTAAATTATCATGTATTAAATATTTTTTTTACGAACTGACATTCATAAAGAGCATATTAGTCAAAATTTCAAATTACGAAAGGTGAATAATAAAAATAAATGATGTTGAAGATCAAAGACAAAAAGTTTGCATGCGGAAACCTAGGACGAAATAAACGGTGGTACGGTACACCGTTACATCTGTGCTCTTAGGTTGCGTGCTTTTAACGTGAACGTTAATGATGGACAAAAGGTTAGATTAATTCGTCTATTAATTAGACTCACGCACCAGAAGTCAAGTGTTAATGTTATTGTGATTACAGATTAGATTTGCATGATTGCAAACGTAATATGTTTAATGGAATATATTGTTGCTGCTAATATATTTTAGATAAGACATCAATCATTCATTATTATGTAGGGTCAGCGACAGAACAGTGGCTTTATAGGATTTGTTAAAGATTATTCGGTATCAGAGTTTTATTTGTAGGACTAGGTTTGATTTCACCAATATATATATTTTGTATATATATATATATATATATATATATATATATATATAAACCCAAGTTTACAGAGGGTTTGACATTTTAAGGAAAAATAAAAATGGATAAGGATTTGAAATTAGACTGATGATAAAACCTCCACAATCTTTTGGCGACAAATATCATAGATAAATAAATTATAGTCATTATAATTTTAAGCCCTATTACTGCTTCTAGTTTTTTTGCTAAATCATTTGTTAGACTATTTCAAATGTAATAAAGTGAGCTCTTACTGCATATTAGGTGGTAATCGTAGCATATTTTCAGATAAATTTACAAATTTTGCTCTTTGATTTTAAAAGAAATAAAAATAAAATACTATTACTGGTATTAGAAAAGAATGATTAAGTTAAGGTTTGAATTGGGCTTTCAGACGATATGAAATACTCAAAAACGCAGTCGATACACTCTTCAACTAAAATATTAATTATAAATAATCTAGTAAAAGACGAGAAAATTTCTCGATATGTAATTTTATGCGTATTAAAAATAAGCATCACAACATTCTTCGCATACATTCATCGTCACAACAAGGAACACGTCACTGGATCAACGCTTACCAGTCCGTACGTGATCGGATACAAAATGATTCCGATTGATGTAAAGGACAGACATAAAGCTCTTTGTTTTTAAGGTCCATACCCGAGCCACTGTTTCCATCGAGTTACTGTTCTCTCCCTCACCGATGATATCGAGGGATGACCAAAGATGTTTGTCGCGAGCTTCTTCGTGCTTCGAAAGGCACGTTAAGCCGTTGGTCATGGACGTAGCCATTATCATGAATTAATGTTTATTCTTTTTAAATTAAATGTTTTTTTTTAATTTATGCATTTTATCAAATATTCTGGTTTGTTTTTCTTTTCGTTATAGTATTGTTTGTAT